ATCAGTGCCTGTGAAAAGGGCGGGCAATGGCAGCAAGCCTTGAGATTCTTTGATGCCATGCCCGAGGCCAACATTCAGCCCAATGTAATTAGTTACAATGCCACCATGAGTGCCTGTGAAAAGGGGCGTCAATGGCAGCAAGCATTGATGTTGTTGGCGTTCATACCCAGGGCCGACCTTCAGCCCAATGTGATTAGCTACAGTGCGGCCATCAGTGCTTGTGAAAACTGTTGGCAATGGCATCAAGCCTTGATGTTGTTTGATGCCATGCCCAAGGCCAACATTCCGCGGGATGTGATTAGCTACAATGCGACCATCAGTGCCTGTGAAAAGGGCGAGCAATGGCAGCAATCCTTGAGGTTGTTTGAGGTCATGCTCAAGGCCAACTTGAAGCCCAATGTGAGCAGTTACAATGCGACCATCAGTGCTTGTGATAAGGGGCGTCAATGGCATCGAGCTTTGAGGTTGTTGGAGGCCATGCCCAAGGCCAGCATTAAGCGCGATGTGATTAGCTACAATGTGGCCATCAGTGCCTGCGAAAAGAGCGGGCAATGGCAGCAAGCGCTGAGATTGTTCGTATTGAGCCAGATGTGATTGGTTCATGAATGTGACTATACTCGTACCGGCAAACACGGTGAGCATTTGACAGCAAGCCTTGAGGTTGTTGGAGGTCACTTGCAGCACAAAGTGAGCAGCACATGTGCTTGCGGTGTGATCCACCCATGCTAAGATTGGTCGCCGTCTTCCGTGCCGAGATGCTGAGATTGAGCTGCGCCGACACGGAAGGTATTTCAGCCGTTCAGTGAGCCGAGCTGATCACGTGTTCTGGCGAGTCTCAACCGGAAGGAGCACACCAGATTGGAGGAGTCCAGTCTGATGGTCTGCTCAATTTGGTGGAGGCTCGACAGGAGGTGTGATCAACTGGAGCCGGAATCAACCGAAGATTCGGTTGGATTTGGGACCCGACAACTGAGTGATTGTGTGATTGGTCGTTATATCCTAGCTGCCCAGCTTGGGGGTGTTGAGCAGCATGTTCACTGGGGAGGCATGCTTTCAAAGGCATCGACAGAATAACCACGGATTTGATTATATATTATAATATATTTATATATATATAAACATATATTTCTACACACATCGTGTGCAGCTTGGCAAAGCCGGTTGAGTGGTTTGTTTTTTTTGAGATAGCTGGAGAGGAGTCAGACATCCACAAACAAAGCACGAAAGGTATCATTGAGCTCTTGAATTCTCCCTGGCTTGCCTGCTAGCTAAACCGCCTGGCATCGTTCACCCTTCCGATCTCAAACCCAGGTGCCTTCGCTTGAGTTTCAAAAGAAGCGCCAGTTCCCACGCCATAGCGATGGGCGTAGCACGTGGCGCGAAAAAGCACCGTCCAGTCGTGCAGAAAAAAGGCGTTGGTTGGTTTCTCAAGTACAAAGCCATACCTGATAGTGTGCATAGTGTCTATATCTCAATTCAGAATGTTCTTGTTACTTGCACGGATGAATCCTGAGGAATCCTTGCTTTATGAGTGCCAGTCAAAGGAGAAGAATCTTTGGTCACTGAAAATCCGGTTGAAGAGGCTGACAGCATGAGGTCACTGTAGAGGAAGGATTTTTTGATGTTCCACCACTGTCGCCCCAGTGTCAGTGTCAACGTTTTTAGGGCCAGACTCGCCTTCAAGAACTCAAAGTCAAAATCCAGTTGTGATATGTAACGATACGCGTCTGC